CCTGTATTTGCTTCTCTTAGGTACTATGGTCAGAGGAGTAAGGTTTGTAGTAAAGCTGTTTGCTCCAGCAGAGTGTGAAGTGGTGTGGAAGAACTCGGGCAAACACGAAACAAACACTGGCAAGCTTTGCCTGCCTACAGTAACACCAGACCTCTCTCACCTCCCTGTTAAGTGTGCGACACTTCACATCTACACAAAAGGAGGGAGGCTTTTTGCAACAAGGGAGTGGAAAATTCTCTCTGTGTAACTTTAAAAAGCGCCTCCTTCTGAAAGCTACAACTCTGCTGAATCCAACAGGCAAACTGGAATAACTGGAAGCTAAACAAGCAGAGGCACATGGGCTGCTATCTTTGGAGCACAGATGAAGCATTTCATTCAAGGAAAGGGAGGAGTTTTTGGTTTTGTTTTTTTTTTTTTTTTTTTTTTAAAAAGCTTCCCACTCAGCAGCAGAAACACAAACTGACCTTCCTTCTCAGCAACTATTCCGTAACAGGAAAATATTTAATCTGAAAAATATTTCTGATATTAAACTAAGCGTCATCATTTCCATGAGCCAATTAAAAAAAAAAATCATTTTTAAGAAATCAGCTCATTATGTTCCCCTGCTTTCACCCATTTCTCACCAAGAAGGTAAAGACCATGTTGAGTTTCATTTTACAAAGCAGAGTTTAACTAGTATTTTAGAATTAAAAAATGTTCCCAAGTATTGTTCTGTAAAATTTCTACATATAAAGGCTTCATGCTTCTAATATTCCTTCTGCTGCAATACTTACTATCTCCAACTTTGCTTCTTTTTGTTTACATTCAGTTTCAGTACTGCTTTCCTTTGTCAAGAGGTCCTAAGCTACATCCCAAACTTTCTTAAAAATCCCTAAAGTAGATCCCACATTCTCCTGGAGTCAGCTGCTATAGTTTTTCACTTTACAGGTGGCTTAAGAAAAAAATGTATATTCCCAAGAAGCGAATTCCAAAGACTTTACATAGAAACAAGCAGCCAACTTTGGTTCAGAGTGATGTGTTATATGCCCATCGGAAAGGATTAGTCTTGAATTACAACCGTGACTAGTAGTCTCTGGCACTGCCAGAGGCTTCCGGTATAGCTACAGCATATCACCATTTCTGTGTCCCAGTTTCCAAATATAAAGTTGTGACAGTTCCTACCTCCCCACAATGATGATTAGTCACTTAGCATTTTACAGATTTAAACACTCTTTAAGGAGTAAGCGCCAATGCTAGTGTTAGAGGACAACGGCCATATAGCATACACAAGAAGCAATACGTGTATAATCTTGCAACAGGGTTTTGGAAAACTGAGAGATAACTGGAAATACAGCAACAGTACACATCACTGCAACACACAGACCTGCTTTAACACAAATTCAGCACCATGGTCTTCTACTGGTTTCACATTAAGTCTGTAGCAAGATGTAGTTTTATTGGTGAAACAGTCCTGTTCTTAATCTTCGCTCTTATCTTTCTCTATAAAGTCATCAAAAAGCTAACCAAAAAAATAAACCAGTATTTTCAAGAAAAAAATGCTTATAAAAGCTAACTAATCTGCTTGCTTTGCACAAATATAATCATAACTAACATAGGAAATATGACTTATCCTTCAAGTGATGATCCAAAACATTGACATGTGAGTGTGAATGCAGGACCACGATCCTATTATAAACCACAAAAGTGTCGTGGGTTTTGGGTTTTTTTTGACAGAAAAAGCATCTAAAAAACCCTCAAACAACTCCTCTCTACCAGCTATTTAAAAGATTACAGAAGTCATTTAAAGGATGAAGAAAATGTAAAGAATGACAAAGGATACCTCATCCAAATATGCATGAAGAAGACAGTGAAGTAAAATATTTAAGGGAACTAGGTGCTTTTCACACACAGGCTTTCAGGTCTCAGCAAATTCAGTGAGAAATGACAGCCTGATGCCTACCAAGCTGCCTTCTTGCAAGGTACCAAGTAGAGCAGCATCAGCGTCGGCTCCTTTTCTTCCTATTTGTCAGAATTCATGCTCCCCATGGCACAACTGCTACATTTTTCTAATTTAAGCTGGAAATAGCCAGGGCTTATTTTTAATGATAGTAGCAGCTGACTTAAATACAGAGAAGCAGAAGATCACTCCCACCAGAGTGACAGAAGATCACTCATTTTCTTCCACAGGAATAAACGCACAGTTAGATTGAATATTGGTTTATAACAATTATTTGTTAAAA